GGCCTGGCCGATCCACCTTTCAGGCGGGGGCAGCTGCTCAATGTCTTCTAACTTCCTATGGGCTGGTGTGTGCACAGCTGGGGCATACTCGTTTCTCTGCATTTGAAGCAAGGCCCCTCTTCTCAAACCCCCATATCGTTGCTTGGCTGACACCTGGCTGGATGGGTCCATGTTGTGTAGCTTGACCGCATTCATGCAATCGCTATACAGAGTCGGCCCATGCTGGGGAACCTATATAGGGAGTAGTGCCAGTTGTAACTCTTCTGCCGCTTGACTTGTTTGCGGCAAGCTGGGCCACACAACTCCCCTTGCTACATACTGTTGCACACCTTCAGCATCAAATAACACCCACGAATACGCTGCACGGGAGAGCTCGCGGATGTTGTGTCTGACACGCGAGCCGTCCCCCGCCTGATATAATCTAGACCCGTCGAAATCCTCCCACGGAATCTTTTGACCACTCATGTCGAACAACTCTGGCTCATGCACCTCCGAGAGAGCTGGCCAATCGGCCGCGGGGTGCTGGAACATGAGGGCCTCGCAAAACTGCGCGTCCCCGTTCTGGGCGCGCTCGTGGAAGCTGGCGGAAACGTCCGCTGCCTGCCTCGCACCCACCACATTGGGGCGCTGGCAGCAGAAGAGGCGATGTCCTACCGAGTCAGGCGCCTGGCAAAGGGGGCAAAGGCCTGGGGCGATGTACCCCGACCGTTGGGCCCTGTCCTCAGTCCAGAGACCATCACAGAAACACGCCATCACCAAGTATTTACCCTGGGCATGAAGACCGATCCCCTTGACCCCAGCCTTGGTGATTCTCCGAATGGGTTCCACACAAATACGGGTACCAGGGGTCCAACCGAGCTTTTTGCCCAACACCCGTTCGTGGTGCCTCTGAACCCCCAGGCTAGCCAATGCCCAACCATGGACGGGGTGGTGTACAGCAGGGAAATCTCCACGCCATTATCATCGCGCCAGTCTAACGGGGTGTACGCTTCCCACCCGATACGCTCTAAAGACAAGTGCATTCGGTTGATGGGCCCTTTACTCTTAGCCCATGTGTGGCCGGTTTGCGAAACGGTCCGCCGCATGCTGCACAGTTCCTGCACTGAGAAAAAGGCATGCTCAGGCCGCGTGACCGCCGCCCAGACCGCATGATACCACGCCAGAGCAGGAGCAATCATGCTCCGCCAGAGGGGGTCCCCCAGCAACGCCGTCTTGGCCCTCAGGGAGACGCCAGCATGCCTCGGGGCCTGCCACGACAACATCACACTTCGCGCACCCTTAAGTTCGGCATCGCTCATGCCGACGACCGTGTCGCCAAAGGTCAGTCCTGGTTTGACCCCCGCAGTGTAAATCTTGCCTATTCTGAAACGTTCTCTGGGCAAGGACTTACGATACTTACACCGGATACGGTGTCTACGAAGCATGTTCTTCAAACGCCCCCTTCCCTTACTAAGGTGCCCCTTCCTGTTCCTCTCGCCCCCTGGGGCCAGATCGCATCCTAAGGTCGCCATGTGGGCCCCCACGTCCCCCGCCAGTTTACCGAGCCGCTGTCCGAGGTTACGAGCGACGCTGGGGGAGGACCCAAAGGTCATCAACTTATCTTGAGCAAGATTGACCCCGAGCTCCTGCGTGAACACTTGGTGCAGGTCCTGCGCTGCATCAGCCAGACGCTGGATGACTTCGGCCTCGAGGCCGTACGACGACACCGCGTCGTCGTCCACATTTGACGCCAGATCGATGTCGGGGTTGCGCGCCACAAACCCGTCGAAAGGCTCGAGCGCATACACTCGCACGAAGGTGTCGTTAAAAATCGACCCTGCTGGCAGCCCGCTCTCGGCGTGCAACCGCCTAAGCGAAGGATCCTAGGGCCTCTCCAGAAGTTATACGTCAATTTGCGGATCACGGGGTCCAACCCAGCACGGTGCCCACGGCCCCTAAGGACCTCGAGGTGGAAGCTTTCGTAGTACTTCTTCGACCCATCCCAGGAACAAAACCCGCGGCGACCCCGCCTTCGGCCACTCGGGCCTCCGCTTTAACCGCCTGGTTCCACACGCTGCCTTCCGCCGACTTCCCCGCTCCGAAGGCCCAGTAACGCCGGGGGTGGCGGTCGTTAAAAGACGTCAGTCTGGGGCGGCGCACTCGCCCCCAAAGCCTAACTGGGGACGAACACAACAAAATCGGGCGCAACCCCCCCTTAGGTTTCTCTAAGAGGGGGGAGAGCATCCAATACAGGGCTTTGGGGAAGAGCCCCAGTTTCTCAACGCACTGAAAAACGCAAGCGCAGCACTCCAGTCCCTCGTCCGACACGCAAGCGAACTGCCACACGTGCACCCCATCCAGGGATTGAGCTTTGTGCGTCGAGAACATCTTGGAGGCGGCTCTCAATTCGGCCGCCGTCGCTCGTTCAAAACAATGCCTGTCGGGAACGTCCACGGGTGGGGGAATGCTAGTAGTGTTCCAAAAGCCCCCTAGCACATCGGCTTCATGGGCCAGCATCACTCGAGGGTCAGACGAGTAAATCCCTGGGCTGGTTTCTATCACCGTCGGTTGCCATTGCGCCTTCAACCTGGTCAAACGGTGCATCTTCCGAGCCGAGCCCGGCAACGCTTCAGTCTGCCACTGGTCCCAACTTTGTTTGGACTTGCGATCCAGCCCGTCACGGGCCTCTTGAAAATCCTCGGCCCACTCTTCCAGAGTCTCCGAGTAGTGTTCCGTCCACCCAGCAAGCGCAACAAGATCCTGCGGCCACGCAGCCGCCAGCTCTCGCGCCTTGCGGACAGTGAGGTCCAACCTCGGAGACAGGCCTTCAGACTCGAAAGGCTGAGAAATGATACGCGCAATATTCACGGCAGCTTCAACCTCAGAATTATTCACGATGTTATCGGCCTGCGTCAGCAATCGCAGGCTGGTGTTGCGAAGATCAGTCATTCCTTGCTGCAACCACACCCATCCCTCCCCAATACGCACTTCGTCCTCCTCTTTACACCTCGGGGGGGGTGAGTACGGGCACCCATTTAGCCTGCAACTGTTTGCCGTTCAAACCTTTGCGCTTAACGGTGGCCCCCATTCGGCTTTCCAGCTCGAACTCCATGGCGTCCGAGAAAAACTTCCAGACCTGATCTGGAATCCCCCAACTCACCGTAATCTCATCGCAATCAGCTCTACGGTTGGCCTCCTCAGCCACTGCTCGAGCCACAGACCAATCGATCGGGGGAGGGGGAGGTCCAGTGGGTAACTCAACTGGCAGCTTCTGGTTGGGTTTGATACATTAATTGCCTAAGCTTGGCCGCCCCTGGCCTTAAACGAAGTTGAACGGGCCGATGGGGCCTCTTGGGCCACTTGCCGTCGACCTCCGTAGCCTCCACGAGCTTGCCGAAGGCCGCCGACGCCAGGAAATAATCAATCTGCAAAGCTGTCGCCACTGTCGAGTGCTGCTGGTGTGTCCAGCGGGGTGAGGCACCGCGCGGATCAGGGCGGGACCTCGCGGTCCTTGGGGGGCTGCGATCTGCGAAGCTGTCGCCAGTTTCGAGGGCTGCTGGTCGGTCCAGCGGAGTGAGGCAGTGAGGCACCGCGCAGATTTGAGCGGGACCTCGACGTCCCTGGGGGGCTGCGATCTGCGAAACCGTCGCCACTTTCGACGGCTGCTGGTGGGGCCAGCGGAGTAATCTGGGGCACGATCTGCGGCACCGCGCGGATCAGAGCGGGACCTCGCCGTCCTTGGGGGGCTGCGATCTGCGAAGTTGTCGCCACTTTCGAGGGCTGCTGGTGAGTCCACCGGGGTGAGGCAGTGAGGCACCGCGCAGATCTGAGCGGGACCTCGCCGTCCCTGGGGGGCTGCGATCTGCGAAACTGTCGCCACTCCCGAGGGCTGCTGGTGGGTCCAGCGGAGTGAGACACCGCGCAGATCTGAGCGGGACCTCGCCGTCCCTGGGGGGCGGCGATCTGCGAAACTGTCGCCACTTTCGAGGGCTGCTTGGGGGGTCAGCATAGCAACCTGCGAAACTGTAACCACTTTCGAGGGCTACTGATGGGTCCAGCGGAGTGAGGCACCGCGCAGATCTGAGCGGGACTTCGTCCCTGGGGGGCTGCGATCTGCGAAACCATCGCCATTTTCGAGGGCTGCTGGTGGGGTGGGTCCAGCGGAGTGGGGCGCAACCCAGATCTGAGCGGGACGTCGCCGTCCTTGGGGGGCTGCTTGGGGGGCCAGCATGGCGATCAGCGAAACTGTCACCACTTTCGAGGTCATTCAGCGGAGTGAGACCGCGCAAATCTGAGCGGGACCTGGGGCGTCCTTGGGGGGCTGCGACTTGCGAAACCGTCGCCACTTTCGAGGGCTGCTGGTGGGTCCAGCGGAGTGGGGCACCGCGCAGATTTGAGAGTGACCTCGCCGTCCTTGGGGGGTTGCGATCTGCGAAACTGTCTCTACTTTCAAAGGCTGGTGGCGGGTCCAGCGGAGTGAGGCAACACGCAGATCTGAGCGGGACCTCGCAATCCTTGAAGAGTTGCGAGCCTCACGAGTGCCGCTCGCAGAAATATATGAGGCCATGTCACGTCATCACTTCCGTATAACGTCTCCAAAGCTATTCATGCCCCGCATTGCGCAGGGGTTGGGTACGTCGCCAGGGTAATTGATAATTAGTTGAGCATTGTTTGACTATGTTTTTGTCCCAACCATCCTGTGGTGTTGGGTCCTCGTTTTGAAGAGACGGTGGCCCGCGTCTCCTCTCCTCCTCTCCTCCTCCCCCTCCTCCTTGCGTTTCACCCACCCAGCACAGCGTTTCGTAGCCCCATAGGGAGCTCAACGGAAGGCCCCGGTGGCAGGGTTCGCATGGCGGCCTCGGGCCATTTCGGCCCCCTCACGAGGATCGTGGCCCCATAGGGAGCTCCACCGAAGGCTCCAGTAGCAGGGTTCGCATGGCGGCCTCGGGCCATTTCGGCACACCCCTCACGAGGATCGTGGCCCCATAGGGAGCTCCACCGAAGGCGCCAGTGGCAGGGTTCGCATGGCGGCCTCGGGCCATTGCGGCACACCCCTCACGACGATCCCAGACCCATAAGGGAGCTCCACCGGAGGCGCCAGTGGCAGGGTTCGCATGGCGGCCTCGGGCCATTTCGGCACACCCCTCACGACGATCGTGGACCCATAGGGAGCTCCATCGAAGGCGCCAGTGGCAGGGTTCGCATGGCGGCCTCGGGCCATTTCGGCACACCCCTCACGAGGATCGTGGCCCCATAGGGAGCTCCACCGAAGGCCCCCAGTGGCAGGGTTCGCATGGCGGCCTCGGGCCATCGGCACACCCCTCACGAGGATCGTGGCCCCATAGGGAGCTCCACCGAAGGCAGTGGCAGGGTTCGCATGGCGGCCTCGGGCCATTTCGGCACACCCCTCACGAGGATCGTGGCCCCATAGGGAGCTCCACCGAAGGCGCCAGTGGCAGGGTTCGCATGGCGGCCTCGGGCCATTTCGGCACACCCCTCACGAGGATCGTGGCCCCATAGGGAGCTCCACCGAAGGCCCCAGTGGCAGGGTTCGCATGGCGGCCTCGGGCCATTTCGGCACACCCCTCACGAGGACCGTGGCCCCACTGGAGCTCCACCGAAGGCGCCAGTGGCAGGGTTCGCATGGCGGCCCCGGGCCATTTCGGCACACCCCTCACGAGGATCGTTAACATACACGTGCTTCAACAAGCGCTGCTTCAACTGGGCGTCGTACTCCGCCTTGTCGACGTGCAACGCCACCTCCTCCCTCATGGCTCTCAAGGCCCTTTCCTGCTTCTGCTCCTCGGTGAGAGGGACGCCGTCCTTGTCGTCGTCGGCGCCCGCGAAGACGGCCACGAACGTGTCCCTGAGCATGTCGGGCTCCGGCGGGAAGCCGTGGCCACATAGGGAGCGCGGGCGAAGATGGTATTCACAATTGCGGTATTCACAACTGCATATGGTTGGGTCTTTCGCCAGGATAATTCTTCGTCCAAAATCCGCCTGCAGGGGGACAGGCCCGACCTAACGCTAGGGATCGGCTGGCGATCGGAATGGACTGGGGCCTGGATCTTTGCAGTGATCGTCGGCAAGCTCAGGCTTGCCACAACTGCACCGCCCAGGCTGCGCGGAACGAGGGGGTGGATGGGAGGAACGCTGGGGAAACAGTGCTGGGGAGATGGGAAGGAGGAGTCCCAAAATGCGCCAGACTCATGCCTCCGTCTGGCCGGGCCTCCCCTCGGTCGAGAGGGGCTTACAGTGGGGGCGCGCGTCAAGAAGCCATATGCTTCGTCAGGCTATCCTGCGCTTCTTCGCTCCTCGCGCTGCGCGGTGACTTCCCGCGGCCGTCGAAGGAGTTGCTGCGTGCAGGGTGTTCCAGGTTTCGCCTGATGTGCACCTCGCGCACGGGTCCTGGGTTTCTTGCGGCCGCGCCCGCACTGTGCTCATGTCGCCAGCCTCGCCGTCTCGTTGGAGAAACCGCTCTGGCGCTGGGCCGTCGAGCGCCCGCAGGCACTGCCATGCGGCGTCGCAGCGCGCTCAATGCTTCCTTTTTGCGTTTCGCTGCATGAATTTGCGTGTATTTCGAAGGAGAGAAACAGCCACATGAATATAAACTGGCTCCGCGCGGATATCTTGGATCCGCGCTGGGTCCATGTTGTTATTCGCCTGGTGGTTGTGACGGGGCTGTGCGGCCGCGCTCTCTCATCTTCGGCATTTTCCAGCGATGCATGATGCGTGATTCAGCATTGCTTTCCCAGGGATGCGCGATGCCCGTTCCCTGAGGCGCGATTGTTTCGGCTTCAGCCGCTTCGTTCCCACGGTAGTCTGGGACTCCAGACACCCTGGTGTAGCGTTGCGCTGTTCATATTATAAGCTTGCGTGAGGCCCCCAAAGAGACGTTTCAAGGAGGAGCCCGCGAATAACCTGAGAACGCTAAAATAGTTCAGCAACCTTCGGACAAGCAATGAGTTTGGCCTCTTGAGGCTCTTTTGGAGGTCCTATTGGAGCCTCTTGGAGCGTCTTGGGCGCCTCTTCGGCCGTCTTGGCTCAATCTTGGGCTGCCCCACTGCCTGGCCAAACAGCCCGGGCCGCGTTCTGGCAGCTACCCGAGTTCCTCTGGAAAGATGCGGGCGCTCCCGCCCACCCACCCCCCGCCTCATCCAGAGGGGGGGTCTGAGGTCATTTGATAAGGGAAAAGGAATGTGTATACATCTATGTATGCATGTATATCGGTACACCACTAGAGCGAAGGAGGCCGAGCTGTCTTGCGGAGTCCATGGATGATTGGTGAAAGGGTGATGATCCATTGCGATGTGGTGTTGTTGCGGCTGGATCCTTCAGTCTGAAGGATTTGTGTCGTGAGTCACCCGCTCACCAATGTTTCAGTCAGATCGTGCCCCTCAACGATTATATTGAAGAGGCTTCCGCCAATCTGCCGACCCCTAGGACAGGAGCTCGCGACGCTCGTGAGAGCCATCGTGAGGAGTTTGACCCAGAGGATGGGCCAATATTCCAACTGTCTTGGGGTCCGTTTCAGCAAGAGCGAACTATTCTGGGAAACTCTGGGGGTTGGAGACCTCTTGGATGGTTGGTGGGATCGGAAGCCTCTGGGGAGTCTCGTGGAGGCAGTTTTTAGATATGGAGGGGATTTTTCGTGTGCTGTTCGATGCCTCTTTTGTGCCTCTTGGCGGCCTCTTTGGGCCTCTTGGGAGCACCTTGGGGGCATGCTTGCAGTTTGGGAGATCCTCTTAGGGCAGTGACTTCGAAATGTTTGTGTGAGGTACCCCTCTTATGGCTCTCTCGGGGCTGTCTTGGACGTTTCTTGAGCCGTCTTGGGGCTCTCTTGGACCGTCTTGGGGCACCTTGGAGGGGGTCCAGGACTCCTTGGGGGCGGTGTGGGCGCCCTTTTAGGTTGGCTTGGACGTGAATGATACGTAGCACCCCGCAATTGCGGATCAGAGTGAGGGGGCGGGCGCGGGCGACGCGGGCGTCGTCGAGCCGGCGCACCTCGTGGCCCCCACCTTCCCTGTCGATGGCGCTCTCCTCCTCCTCCTCCTCCTCCTCCTCCTCCTCCTCCTCCTCCTCCTCCTCCTCGTCCGCTTGGGAGGCGGGTGGGCGTGAGGCTCTTCGGATGTTCGGTGCTGGATCCCTGGGAAAGCGTCCGAAATGGCAGCGTGTGTTCGGCTCCACTCTTCAAAAACAAGTTTTTGATTGCACGATCTTCGTGACGTTGGAACGTCGCCTCCAGAAGTGGTACGGAGAGCCCCCTCCGTCGAACGAGGAGGGGGATGGGAGCGGCTTCAAGCGCTGCTCGCCTCTCTCCCTGGGGCCTGGAGACACTGCCTGTTAAAGACGTGGCTGGGAGCCTGGCCCACCAACTCGCGCATGCAGCGTTGTGCTCAGTGCGTGCTGGGGTGCGAAGATAGCCGCGATTCGGTCGACCACTATCTTGGGTCGTGTCGTCGGCTCCATTGGCTGGCCTCCTTGGCCTGCAGGACCCCGCTGCCAAGTACTTGTAGGTTTCGGCTCGGTCTCCTTGGGTCGCCTGCTCTTTGTGTAAATCTTTATCACTCGTACCGCTTGGCTGTGCACCGCTCGATCGGCTCGGATCCTGCTCGTGCTATGTCAATTATTCAGGCCATTCGCGTTTCGGTGCGTCTCCCAACACGGGGACGCCAGCGGCTGCTCCTCGACCCCAAGGCCCTCCACAACAGCGTGGTGCAGGCGCGCGGGGGGGAGGGAGCGTAGGGGGGGACGTGGGACTCCTTCGGCTACGCTCCACCTCCTCCTCGTCCTCGTCCTCATCGTCGTCGTCATCCTCCTCCTCCACCTCGTCCTCCTCCTCTTCTTTTTCGTCCTCCCTCTCCCCCCCTCGTCCTTTCATCATCGTCCTACCATTGTCGTCCTCCCCCTCATCGGCCTCTATCATCGTCCTCCCATTGCCGTCCATCACCATCATCATCATCATCATCATCATCATCATCACCTTCATCCTCCTCATCATCATCATCATCATCACCATCATCATCATCATCATCATCATCATCATCATCATCATCATCATCATCATCATCATCATCATCCCTCATTCCCCTCCTCGTCCTCCTCCTCCCCCTCCTCCCCCTCCTCCCCCTCCTCGTCCTCCTGCTCCTCCTCCTTTTCTTTCTCCACATTCTCCTTACATCCTCTCTTCTTCCGCGTTCTCCTCGTCCCCTGTTTACTCCTCCTGCCTCCCCCTCCTTTCCCAAGATAACTGCAACGCAATCCTTTTTTCCACTTTATGCTCCCCGCCTTCTCTGATCAAGGCAACTCGCCAGGGCAGAGTTGCTGGACGGGCTGGTGTGGATGCGCGGGGCTTGAAGAGGTCCTTGCGGGCTCAGACGGCATGCAAAAATCCGCCGCCGCGCTTGTGCGGCATTGGTTTGTTCAGTGAACGTGGTTTAGGTCGCGGGTGGGTCGCGGGCTCTCCACCTCCACCTGGAAGGAATGCAAAAGCAGCCCGCCGCAGGCGCCAAAAAAAATGGTTTGTACACTGAACGTGGTTTGGGTCGCGGGTGGGCCGCGGGTTCTCCGCCGGGGACGAATGCAAAAGATGCCCGCCACAGGCGCCGAAAAATGTGGTTTGTACCCTGAACGTGGTCGCGGGTGGGCCGCGGGTTCTCCACCTGAAACGAATCCAAAAGATGCCCGCCACAGGCGCCGAAAAATGTGGTTTGTACCCTGAACGTGGTTTGGGTCGCGGGTTGGTCGCGAGTTGGTCACGGGGTGGGTCGCGGGCTCTCCACCTGGAAGGAATGCAAAAAAAAACCCGCCGCAGGCGCCGAAAATGGTGGTTTGTACCTTGAACGTGGTTTGGGTCGCGGGTGGGTCGCGGGTGGGTCGCGGGGTAGGTCGCGGGCGGGTCGCGGAGTGGGTCGCGGGGTGGGTCGCGGGTGGGTCGCGGGGTGGGCCGCGGGCGGGTCGCGGGGTGGGTCGCTGGGTGGGTCGCGGGGTGGGTCGCGGGGTGGGTCGCGGGGTGGGTCGCGGGGTGGGTCGCGGGTGGGTCGCGGGTGGGTCGCGGGTGGGTCGCTGGGTGGGTCGCGGGGTGGGTCGCAGGTGGGTCGCGGGGCGGGTTGCGGGTGGGACGACGACAACAAACAACAACAACAACAACAACAACAACAACAACAACAACAACAACAACAACAACAACAACAACAACAACAACAACAACAACAACAACAACGAGAATCCGCACCGCGGAATTCCACTTCAGCCACGCACCCAGGGACAGTGAATGACCGCTCGGCCCCCTCACTCTGACAGAACAGCGGGTATGCCAAATTGGTAGGTTTTTAATATGGGATTGGGACGATTTGTTGTTTCTTGGGGCTGTTTTCGGTGTCCTATTGGAGTCTTTTTGGGGCGTCGTGGAGGTTCCTTGGAGCCGTGGTCAGGCTATGTGACTGCTTTTGACTCAAGCTGGCCATGTTTGATACCTTCTTGAGCTGTCTTGGTCTGGTTGTGCCGCTCGACGATTAGATGTGTTTCAAGCGTGACGCCGCTGGGCCAACGGCAGCAAAAACAGTTATAAGTGTAAGGCCGCTCGCTCTCCAACGTTCGCGGGTCATTCAATGTATGTATACGTACCCCAAACCTTCGACACCCGCCCTCTTCGTCTACGAGCGTCACACTTCGGCTACCCCAGTCATTCGAAAAACCACAACAAGGTAACGAATGCGGACCGGGCCGGCGGACCCGAAAGGGCGGGTCGGGCGGGCGGGCCCTGATGCACGGGCGGGGTGGGCGGTGGAGGGCATGGCAGCGGGCGGGCGGGCTTCCACGCAAGCAGACGGGCGGGCCCTGACGCACTGGCACTGGTGGGCGGCAGGGCCATTCCAGCGGGCGGGCTTCTCCAGGCGAGCGGACTAGCGGACCTCAGGCGGGCGGCTCGGGCGGGCGGGTCAGTTTCAACCGGCCGGGCCGAAGCCGAGCGGCCGGGCCTTCGCGGGCGGGCCCGGGCGGGCTGGGACACTGGAGCGGGCGGGCTTCCAAAGCAAGCGCCAGGGCAGGCCTCAGGCCCACGCCGGGCGGTTGCACCCCGACCAGCAGGCTGGGCGAACGGCACGTCCAAACGGGCGGGCGGGCTTCCAAGCTGACGAAA